ACTACTTGATACACTAGGTTACAGGGCACTGCCTTATGGACATTAATAGCTTAAAGCGACAATTTAAACCACTCTGCAATACCTACGATGGTATCATCACTACATTGTACGTGTCATATATTTTCACGAATTTATTAATAAGTAGATACAAACTTGTATTCTCTCTCTTAAACGCAAGTCGTTATTGTGAAAACAATTTTTATCAAGTAGATTTCGGATAGACCTAGCTCCTCGATAAAAGATATAGACGATTCGACAGACGTGTCTGTCAGCTGGGAGCGTGGCGGTTCCTATAATCCGGCTATTCGGAGGTTGGTTTTCTTCACGGAAGTTGATTGTCTTGATAGTCCGTCTCGCGACCGACCTCGCTTTGTCGATCTCTGTGGCTTGCAAATGGTACGCCATATATTGCAGCCACACCAACGAGCTGTCCGGGCTGGACTAGTCTGTCAAATTGGTCGATGAAGTTGGGCACCTGATTGCTCGCTAAAGCCTCTTCCCGCTGGCGAATCTCGCGTTCCTTCTGCCGTTCCTGTTCCCGACGTTCGGCTGCGCTCAGCTTCTTCTTCTTTCGCTTCGGCTCGTTCGTGGTCTTCTCTTCATCATCGCTGGACGTCTCGCTGACAGCTACTACAGCCGAGCTTTTTTTGTTGTCCCAGTTAAACCCCCATTCTGGAATATGTGATTTTTTTGTGGTCGGCAACTTGTCTTCTGCATCGCTTTCGTCGGAAGAGTGGATGAGTCCGCTGGTCCTGAGATCGTTCAGATGTCGACGGACAGGCAAAGCCACTAAGTATCCTGAACCGTTGCGTTTCACGAGGACGATTAGCAACCAATTGGTGATCATCAGGATTTCTCCTCTCAGCACAAGCTTGTCAGGAAGTTCCGGTAGTTTTCTTTGCTTGGAGCTGATCCCGTTCACAATCTTTGGTAACAACGACACGTCCACGAAGTCGTGGACATAGTTCTTCCACAAAACTGTACCGAACACCTTGTCTCCGACTTTAGGCTCGACGGTGTAATGATCCTTGCGCACTACGCCCGTCAGTTTATTATCTAGTCGAAGTACGAGACCGTGGTCGGTGATCTTCTCGATCTCGCCTGTGACTTTATGACCCAAAGTCACCAACGAAATCGGTTTGTTCTCGTAAAACGCATTAGTCGCCAGCTCCGACAATTTATTGAGGTATAAGCTCAAGACATCCACCGCCGACAGCATCTTCATCCCGTGCTCGACAGAGCTCTCCCACACGTCTTTCAACCCCATCGTCAGCGTCAATTGTTTCTCTCGTTTGTTAATAGCCGTGATTTTAACGAGCAATATCTGATTCACACGCAACAGCTCGAAGTCGCTGATATTCTTGTATGAGATAAATCCGAATGTGGAATAATCCTCGAGGGGCAAGATAACTCTCACGCCGTCCTGCGAGATGTCCCTGATCGTGCACGGAATGCAATCCCCTATCTTCAGCGTGTGAAAGTTTCTGTACTGCTCCTGTGTCACATAAGTGCGTGACATTATCACGCTCGGCTGTGTGGCAAAGACGTAGGCCGAGATAGTGTCGCCAGGAGTGCATTTCGACGCGAGTAGACCGCCGATTTCTATGCACGGAGACATGTGACCGGCCGGTAAGAAGCCAACCGTGACCTCATCGTCGGTCTTACGTACTCTCAGATGTATTCCTTCCATGGACGATTCCATTATTACTCCTTCGATCAGTTCCCCGATCTTCATGTTAATGGACTGTTGTTGTTTCTGTTCTCCCATGATTATTCTGAGTTTCATTTTATCCTCGTCCTTCTCGATCGAGTCGATCAGCACCGTGACGGTCTGTCCCAATGTGTAATTCCAATTCATATCGGACGTGTTGCTGTCCAATACAGTGCGTGGGACCCATCCTTTAATGTCGCCGTAAAATCTCACCAATATGCCGTTCTTGTTTATCTTAGTGATTGTACCGTGATATTCCTGTCCACATCGCGCCTCACAGATATCGTGCAGAACTGGTAGCTCGCTCTTTATTAACGACTGCTTCAACGTGAACCTTATGTTGCGTTTATCGTTGTTAATACTTAACACTCTCGCTTCGACGTTATCTTGAATTTGCAACGTATTCAACACGTTTAAACCACTGTCGGATACATGTTCCGGTGCGACAATTCCGTAAATCTTTCCTGCTTGCACCTGTACGAAGCCAGACTTCGTGTCAACTCTTGTAACCTTGACAGTGAGAATATTACCGATTTTAAGGTCGCCGACTGAAAAATATTTCTGCTGCAAAATTTCATTCTCCATTGTACAGACATAAAGATGTTCCATCCAGTTATATGAGATTATCCTGCATCTATGCACAGAATCTTGTTTAAAGTCTGTCAGGATTTTGTCAAATGGCACATCGGTTCTATGTAGAGAAATGAACCCGCGCAGATTAGATTTGGTCAACTTGAATATTATCCCGTTAGACTCCCTGTAAATACTTTGGCCTTTTTAATAATATCACCCACTTTCAGCCTCTCTTCTTCGGATACATCAGTTAGCAGACTGAAGTATGCAAATTTCACAGTCGGCATTACATACAATAATGTGCCGGTCACTTCTGTATCATCCACATACTCAGATAAAGAACTGTCCAAGTAAATTTGATTTATGTATCCAATGTTATCTTTCCCAAACGTAACTTGCAAGCCATTCGAAAGCACTCTCGTTACGCGAAGTCACAGTTTTGTCCTTGGCGTTAGAGCATCCAAAGATTCTATGTCGTGTATGCTGACACTATTGACTATTTTCTTCTTAGCTGATAATGTGATAACAGAGACCTGATCTACTGTTTTTATCTCCTTGATGGCGCACATGATTTTATTATCCGAAACTGCACAATTTACAATATTAATTCGTTGAATTACACACATTATAAATTTGCTATACAAATTTAATTATACTTACAATACTCCTTTTCTTTGTTAACATACTTGATAGCAAGGAGTGCTCTAACATTAGCTATGCCTGTGTCAACCACATAGCCATAATGTTCTATATTCTTAACAGTACAAACTATCTTTATACCTTTCACAAGATAATTATTATCAATATTTTTATTTATTAACTGAGGCTCCAGAGATAAACTATATAGCTATTTTCCATCAGGATTTACACTTTTAACATAACACACTACATAATCACTGACACTGTACAAGTCTGGTAAAGATTTAAACTGGTCGGTTTGAACATTCTTTGAGTTAATTATGTTCAGTAACAGATTTGTGTAAGATTCACCAAGATCTGTGACTTACATACATCCCAGAAATCCACCTGGTATAGACACAATTAATTCGTATTCAGTTGCTCCAGAAATCTGACCAAGAATTATCATTCCTTCACATATTGTTGCATTAGATAAACGTATTGCAGTATTGGCAACAAAAATTGTTTGTTTTACAATTGTGTCACTATATTGTTTATTAGTCTGAGTTTTATGTTTCTTATTAGGTGTAGGCTTCTGATCAAATATTTAAGATAGAAATATTATTTTATTAATTATAATTATAATTATTAATTAATAATAATTAATAATAATTAATTAATAATAATTAATTATAATTATTATTTTATTAATTATAATTACATTCTATTTTTGTATAAAAATTTTTGAAATTTTTACATAGAACACCAAAATTTTTTAATAAAAAACCAAAATATTATATTGGTTTTAAATACAAAAATCTAGAAATGGTTATTAATTTAACATCTTAAATCACATAAAATAAGAACATGTAAAACAAGAATAAGTTTCTTAAATACATACCACATTTGAAGATTTCTTAACTTCAAATTTCTTTCCTCCTCTAGAAAAGCCTTTCAGTGTCATCTAAAAATATTTTAAGTGATAATAAGATATTAGAAATAAAGAATGTTAATATAGGTTAGGTTGCAATAAGGTTGTTTCGATTGAGTTAATTACCGTTTGTTGTTTCAGAAAATTTCGATGAACGTTATATTACTTAAAATTAAATACTAACCTTTATGATTTATGGGAAATAAATAAATATACAATAAAATTCGGTTGAATTAGCTACAAGAAGCTAGTGCGCTGCACATGTACAAAATGAACGAACACGTGTAAACCACGTGCAAAGCAGCAGTGCTGCAAGGTTGGATAACTTTTGGTGCGTTCGCTTTGTGCGTTTACGCGTCATTCGATCTTTATCGCTCATTACTTGCGGGAAAAAAGATAGAATGACGCTTACAGCGCAAAGCGCCCAAAGTGAATACACCAAAAGTTATCCGAACTCACAGCACTGCAAAGAAGCATTACCATTATTTAAATAAAGTCAGAATCTACTTTAACACTACTTGATACACTAGGTTACAGGGCACTGCCTTATGGACATTAATAGTTTAAAGCGGCAATTTAAACCACTCTGGAATACCTACAATGGTATCATCACTACATTACACATGTCATATATTTTCACGAATTTATTAATAAGTAAATGCAAACTTAATGTTGACTTGTATTCTCTCTCTCAAATGCAAGTAGTTATTGTGAAAACAATTTGGTAAATATGCAGTATAACGCCCCTATCATGTTTTTTTTTCATTCTTTGTGAATTTGTATATTTTATGCGTAGAATTGATTTCTGAAAACGAAAATTGTCGCTCACTTTTCGTTTTCTTGTTTTTTTAATTTTATATTTAAGCTCGCCATCTGACGCATTCCCTTACGTTTCTGTGACAAATTTGATTTTTTTCAGATACATTTTAGTCCACTTTTATAAACTTTAGCTTACGCATGGTTCAGTAGCAAGTCGATCGCTGCGTGTGTGCGAAACTAGCGCTCGTCACAATGGTCCGTATTCTGAGTTCTCTTTTAACGATAAATAAGCCTTTAAAAGAGGCTTAAGAGCCACCTGATTAACTGAAAAGCTATATTTAAGGCATTTTTAACGATAAAAGAGGATTCAGAATATGGGTCTATGGCTCACTTTCATACGCAGCGAGCATTGAGCGTCAGCCGCTGTCTGCATGCGATGAGAATTGAGGTACCGTAAGATGGGGTTACTTTGTGATTGTAGGGGTTACTTTGTGACACAGTGACATTTTTTTATATTTTGAATCTCGCTCCATGACAATGATAACAGGTAAGCTAAAATTTGCGCCAAAATCTTGCCCAACATACCATGCCATTTATGGGCTGTAGCCGGAAGCACTTTATCACTATTGACCAATAGTCACTGTGTCACAAAGTAACCCCTACAGTCACAAAGTAACCCCATCTTACGGTAAAAATAATCCAGCGATTGTGCCTTAGTAATTATATTAATATTATTTTATTAAATTTTGTTCTAAAATATCATTAAAAATGATATTGATTCTGTCTTTTGGAAGAAAAAAGATCAGTGTCTATGAGAAAATTCGCAACATAGAGAATTGTTAAATCTCAATGTTTATACGATAAAGATAAAAGAAATACTGAAAAAAAGGGAGTACAAACATACCTAATAACTTAAAGAAAATTTTTAGTATATTATGTAATTTTGTTGTTTTATAATAATGATGACACTGTTATTGATAAGAAATAATTCTGTGTATACAAATGCATACAAATACGTGTAGCAAGAAGAGATAATTTTTATAGTACACAATACAAAGATTTAAATTTTTAATAAAATAAATCTCGCCACTATACTATATTTTTCGATTTATTCATCTCTTTTCTTATCTAATATAAAATTTCACAACTTTTGTTTGTCCTTCTTCGCTTGTTCGGCCAATGCTTCTAATCGATCATGTTCCGCAATCAAGGCATCTACTTCACTCGCTGACAATACAATTACAAGTACTCTATTCTTTTCATAAATACAATAGAATGTCTGTCATTCATTTGCACGTTCTGTTCCGCTGAGAATTTCCGTCCATAACACATCGGTCTTATTCTAGTATCGCAACGCCCCCGCCGTAACGTTGCGATAGATTCGGAAACTCGTAACCCGCTTGATTTCAGTACATTTTATCAACATTTCATGCACACAATGACACTCAATTTCATATAAAGTATCCTCTTATATTACACTTCTGAGAAAAATTCTAATGGTCCAACAGTGTTTCATAATTCAGTCCGCAGTCGGATGTCTACATACTCTCCATGTGCGTGTAAACTGCAAAATTTTTGTATGAAACACATTTTGTTGGCAGGTGACAGCTGTGAATGCCATATTGAAGTGAAAGAGAAACTCATCTGAGAGACAAGTGAGTGAGGAGAAAAATAGTTTATAATTTTTTTCTTCATTTTTCGTATAAATTCTGAGACTCCCGCCTCCATTAACGTATATACTTTAAGTGTACAAAAGGATTTGGTAATCTATGCAGCCAAACGCGAGAATACTTTATATGAAAATTTCACTTACACATTAACACGTGTGGGCCCCCTTAATCAGTTTATAAATATATTTACCAGCGTAATAATTTCCATATTTTTCGATTGTCACTAATGGAAAAAAATGTGAGAACTATTACGTCGATGAATATAAATATGACATCTTAGAGAGCACAGATTTCCAAAAGACATTCAGAGAGACTGTAAAGACATCCAGAGAACACCTCTATGTTTTTAAGACATCACAAGAACATTTCTAAGACATTTCTAAGATATCCCTTGGAAATTCGTCCTATCATTACATGGTACTTTATAATGTAATTTAAAAAATTTAACTAATTACAATTACAATGAAATATTACGCGAATAATGCTACACGTTTCCCCATAGTTTTTTTTTGCATAAGCAGAATTATTACATCTTTTTATAATGCAGTATTTCATCTTGATATTTCATCTTGATACTTTCACAAAAGAAGTCGTATTTACTATATTCTTTTTATTACTTCTACTATATTATTACGTCTTTCCAATACGTACCCAGCAAACACAGATATATAACAGTTACATTAGTTAGTAATCTTGAGAAGTGCAATCTTGATGTATCCTTGAGATGCATTCAGCTATATCTGTTGCAAATAAAAGAACGCAACCCATGTGATACGCGGATATTAAGCCAGCTTTAGATAAATTGTATGACTCACACCCGTGCAGGACGTAACAATTTCATGGCTTAACTTTTATTTCAATAAGAAAGAAAAATACTCAAAGAGAACTCGAGATTTATGCACCGTTCAAAATTTTTTGGTCCTCACAGCCAGCGCGATGCGACGCTTGATATTCAATGAACGTACAGCTTTTCTGGAATAGCAGCGTAATCATTGGATATTAAGTGTCGCATATTGCATTGCGTATCGCTGCGAGAGTATGGTGCGTTCACATGGGACGGAACGTATGCGCAATGCGGAATGAGCGGAACGCTCGTGATTAGCTCAACTTGTTTTACGTTCGTTCCGTCTGAAGCCAAGCGGCACCCGATGCTTGTTTTCATGCTGGATTTCTTGCTGGATGGAAATACTCTGTTCTGATTGGTCCGTCTTCTGCTCTATCCAAAGATTCCCTCACCACCGTAAAATCCTCCAATTACCGTCTTTCTTAAACGTACGATTTTCTCCATCCACAACCCCAGCCAAAGAGATCTCCTGAACCCTATATACTCATTTATTACTGGCTGCAACATTACCCCATACCTTCCTCCTTTAACAAATCCAACACCTAGGATCCCCGAAATTTCATATTTTTCCTACCAAACCATTTCCAGCTGATCCCCTATAAAACCGTGACCCCGCGCTGTGCTCGCTCTGTTCTTCGGCACTACTACCAGACAGACATCGCAGTCCTCTCTTCCGCTTCTTCGACGTACTTCAATCCACTTCGTCAAGGCACTCTTCATCTCTTCGTCACTACTTACACATCGTCGAGGCCGGTAGTTAGTCACTCTCACTTCATCCATTCTTCAACACGTGCAACGCGCCAAAATTGGAGGGACTTTGAGGAAACGTCGCCCACGAATTGACTAAGTCCATCGATCATCCTTAACCCACATTTTGATAAAGGTTACCGAAAGTAAGTTCAAACAAGTTTTTCATTTTTTTTTCTTGTCATTCCTGCCGCGTTAATTAATTGTAATAATTCCGAAGAGTCCAAAATTTGATTTTGTTCTTCGAGATCTAATATCCCTCTCGTTTCTTACACCCCATATAAATCTTGAGACTCCTGCATACAGGACGCGGTAATGCTTGCCGCGCGGCGGAAGTCTGCGCGATAGCCAATCAATATGTTGTTTTTCTGTAAGAGCTAGAAAGTTATTACGGAAAGCAACATATTGATTGGTTGTCGCGCAACTTCCGCCGCGTGGCAAGCACGTCCTGTGTGCAGGAGCCATAACTCCAATAACGAGTAACTCCAGTTACAAAAGGTACTTACGATAACGAGAGTAGAGCGAGTGAGATCTGAATCCGAGAGAATAGTATAATCTAAAACTGTAATATTCTATGGTCTGCTCTTGCTTCTGCTCTTGCAGTCTCATGAACGCAGGAACAGATCAGGAGTTCGTCTTTGTTCGTCTCACGAACAACAAAGGGTATCCTGGTAGCACATGTTGGTTTTATATACGTTTTATAAATGTATGTAACGTTTTATTATCGTTTGTAAAATATATCAAAAACGTTTCTTAAACGATACGTGTTACTTAGGTAATGTATCATACTTAAAGTGTATTAATATTTTATCTTAAATTTATACTTAGATGTGAGTTTTTCAGCTGAATCAAGATTATATATAATATATTATATATACGTATTTCATACGGTTCAATTAAAATAAATTAATCAAGCTCTTTGCAATCTTTGATAATTGCAATCTGATCATCCGACGTGAGACAAGCTTCAAGTAATAACTATTAATACAAGTTTAGTCCTTGTTTAAGGAGAGTTTGAGAATCTTAAATAACACAGGTTTACAAGGTTTTTATCACAAAAGAAGTAAGAGGTTTACCCGAAGGAATTCGGTGCGCTGAATTCAAATCTGACCTCAGAATCCCTTATAGAAATATCATACTAAGAATCATTGATAATTACTTATTTTCAGTATTAAAAATACTGGATAATAAGTAATTATCAATGATTCTTAGTATGATATTTCTATAAGGGATGGCGCCATGACGTAAGGATTTTGAGATATTCTAACCTAGAAGTACAAAAATGGCTGTTTTAGGGCATTATTGGAGTTTTCTCCTGGTTGCATAGAATTTTACCGACAAAAACTAAACAAAGTACTGTAAAGGAGTATTGCTCTTCAATTTCTATTTTGGAACGTCCAAATAGGATTTTTTCTTCACCGAGATACAGCAGATTTAACTTTTTACTGCATATAGGAAATCAAATAAAGCGATGAAGTTGGTTCATTTGAAATACCATAATCCTTTTGGTTTTGAGCAATTCTGGAAAAACGAGTTTGTAGTTCAAACGGTCCCGAGGGTCGCTGCTCACGAATCTGGACTCAGACTTCCAAAATTCTTTTGGATTTGGAAATTTCATATTGAATCCGTTATCTTCAATTTTGAAAATCTAAGTACCGTCAAGAATCGAGCTCCTGATTTGCTTCTGTGTTCATGAGACTGCAAGAGCAGGAGTAATGGCTTTTGCGCACAGGACGCGGTATTGCTTGCCACGCGGCAGAAGTTTGCACGACAGCCAATCAATATGCTGCTTTTTATAATAACCTTCTAATGGCTCCTGCACACAGGACGCGGTAATACTTGCCGCGCGGCGGAAGTCCGCGCGACAGCCAATCAATATGTTGTCTTTTTGTAAGAGCCAGAAGGTTATTACGGAAAGCAGCATATTGATTGGCTGTCGCGCGAACTTCCGCCACGCGGCAAGCATTACCGCGTCCTGTGTGCAGGAGCCATAAGAGCAGACCATAGAATATTACAGTTATAGATGGGAGATTATACTCTTCTCTCAGATCCAGATCTCAAAGTGCCTTTTCATGGGAGCATCGAGCGTCGAGCGTTAAAGCGGTAGCCAATCAACGTGCCACTTTCCGCAAGAACTACAAGTATACTTCTGGAATTTGATAAGTTGATTGGCTAATGCTTTAACGCTCGACGCTGGAACGCTCCCATGTATTGGCAACTTCACTCGCTCTACTCTTGTTATTGTAAGCATCCTTAAGTAATGTCTTAAGATGCGAATACGTCTCTGTGATTGGTTCATGACATCTTAAGACAGTACTTAAGATGATCTTAAATATAAGATCAAACTATGAATACCGGCCTTAGTGAAAAGCTATAGTTTATGTTATCAGAGAGAAACATGAGAACGGCCACCGGCCTGATTTTAGCGGCCTGAGCTAGGCGCATTTTAGATACGCCATCTAACAAAATGCTCCTAACTACGTTCGTCAGACGCCCTTTCGCAGTGTAAACTTCCATATAATGATAATAAGTTAGAAAAGGACAGACGTCCAATCGCTCTATTCTTATCTCACCACTAGGGTTGGGCACGGCTAAAAAAAATTGTCGACTTCGATTTAATCGATTATCAAAAGTATCATTTTTATATAATCGATATTTTCTTAAAAATATTGATAATCGTGTTAATTTTTTTGTTTTTTATAAAATAATATCAAATTAATAGCGTGTTCGACTGGCCCTGGGTTAACCCATTCTGGGTTATTCAGCCTACGTTTATTGGTCGAACAAGTACTTATAAGCTTTATGATTGGCTAGTAGAGACTTATGACGTCATTAATCTTTCTCGGAGCGATTAACCCAGGGCCAGTTGAACACGTTATTAATCTCCAATGCGTAGTCTGATTCTGACTTTACAGAGGGTGCTTTCCAGTTGCGTACATTGTGTTACACAAAACCAGTTTATTGGTTGTATATTATCTTACCAGATATTTTAAATAATATATAACCTATAAATTGGTTTTGTGTACGTGTGTCTTAAGATGTGTTAAGCAACTGGAAAGCACCCAGAATGTCAGGCGACATGTAACAGGAATAAGAAATAGCCAAAGAAAAACTGTACTTTCACATGTGCGTCGGTTTCTATTGGCTATTCCCTC